GCATGCGGCATGCAGTGTGAATCTCAACAAAAGACCGTGCCTTTGGTCGAGCACGGTGAATGTAACCGTTTCATCCGTATTTACAGCGGTTGGTGTGGTTTGACGAGTGTTTGGGGGTGGGGTTGGTTTGGGCAGGGTTTTGGCACGGGCAACTTGCGGTGGCGTTGGCGTGGTTCAGGCGTGGACTTGGGTGGGTCAAGCGCACGTTTGGTGATTGCGCGGAAGGTGCAGCAACATTGTAACGGACCAGAAATGGATTGCTCGGAGAACAATAAAGGACTCTGCAGATAGTTTTGGGATAGATGAATACAGCAGCGAATTGGAATGAAATTGAAGAGCAGGAGTCCAGGGAACGATAATGGACGGGATAGAACAGAAGAAATGTGCAAGGTATAACGAGTTTTTTCGGGACATGAACAAATTTAGGAAAACGGCCGTGACGCAAGCAACTGCTCTGACAATCGCTTCGTGATTGGCCTCAATTACCTCTATTGACCGTCTTGCACGTCGATTTGGGGGCGTCCAAAATCACCCAAAAACCAAGCACCTCTACAGTTGCGGGAAACTACAAGCCAATGACAATTATGAAGCAAAGCGATTTCGATGGTTGCACGTGCCCCCCCCCCCCGGCAGAACGCGACTTTCCTGTAGAATGTGACTTTACACGTAGGGGCGCCACTGCCATCAAGCAAAAGGCAAGGAAGAGCAACTCACATCCAAGAAAAGCAATGCCTTCGTCAGCTGGACTTCAGGCAGAAGCAAATCTGTCACAGCGGCTCCGTCACGTGCACCAACCTGCACGCAGCAAAGCAGTCTCATCCTGAAAGTTGCCTTAACCCTGCGGTTACTCAGTTCAGCGGCCTTGGCAAGGGCGTCGCGGATCATCTCTTGTGCAGAAACAGGTAGCTCTTCTTGTTGCATAGAAGCAATGAGAAGGCCAGCCACTTGAGAAGCATTTGCCTGATGCTCTTTTTCTTGGAAGTGTGCCCAGGCATCAGTTGGGCCAGTGCCTTGTGCGAAACACATGGAGCCAATCAGCCAGGATAGCATGTACAAATGACCATCGGCATCTCCCGCCACGTGCGCTAGAACATCCATGATCTCCGTGGCCGCGTACCAAGGTGAGTGCTGGGTGCAGGGGCCCAGCTTCTCGCGAAGAATGCCAGCGGCTTCCGGATTTCCATGGCAGAGCTGTTTCAGGGAATCGCTTGCTGCTCTTCGAACTCCTGCAGATTGGTCCCTCAATTTCATGGCAACAGCAGGGATCGAACGGTCCAAGCACTTGTCCCCAAGTACTGCCAAAGCCTGCATAGCTGCAAGTTGGTGCCCGTAGTCAGCGGAAAGGCAACGAAAAGCTGGCTCAAGGTCTGTGAGAAACGACAGCTTCAAAGGCTCTGTACCATCTGAGTACAATGACAAAGGGTAGGTATCCTGCGGGTTTTGGGAAGCTGCCCAGCCGCCATCATGCAAGGCTTTGTACAACTCAAGGGAAACCAAAGACCATTCGCAAAGAATTTGAGAGGCCAAGCTGAACCTCCCCAGATGCTCAGGGGTGAAGCTGCCTTCCATCCCTTCGATTACAGTCTGCGCTGCATGGATTTGCTTCGGATTGACTTGACCTCCAACCGCTTCATCGGGGAACTCCTGCAAGCCTCGAAGAAAAGCATGCGTGTCCGCAGACATCAAGGCCCTCAACATGTGCCACCCAGGTTCCATGAGCGATCGCTTGCGGAGTCCTGTTGGCGGGACGGACCGAATCGAAGGACAAGAGCAAATGAGGATATGCACGACCGCCATGCCCTCGTACATTGCTCTTGGCGGGCTGTTAAGCGCTTTGAGCTCGTACAAGAGCCTGCGGTCCAGCCGCTCAACGAGCTCAGCTGCTTTAGTCTTGAAGAAGATCTCAGCCTTCCCCCTGAAATCCTCTGTCACGGGTTCTTGCAGAATGAGTTTTTGACACATGCGCGGCACCTTCCACTGCTCGCTCAGCCTTAGCTTCAACTCTGAGATGGTGTCATTCAGCCGGGCCTGCACCTCCAGCTCCTCCCCACTCATCCTTTGGACACATACCTTGACTCTGTCATCATCCATGGCGTGGCTTTGCTGGGCTGGTCAACGCTGCACTAGCATGGATCCGAGGATAACGCGGGCCTGAAATGGCTTTAAGCGGCTCATTGGCTATGATGATGTATGATCATGGCAAGCCTGCAGCAAGCTTCAAAAAGAGCAACCTGAAATCTGAAATCTCTTAATCATGCCAACTGGCACGATCCGTTTGACCTGCTAATCTGCGCTACCCCAAGTTGTAAGCCAGGCACATTCCACTTTTCCAAGAGGTCTACGCGGCTGCCTTGTTCGGCTCCTGAATCTCTTTCCGGAGTGAGAAGGTCAACATCAGGCTTGGAATCATGAACACTGCTCCATACGTCACATAGGCCACCATTCTCCAGCTGTGTGCTCCGGGGGCCGTTGGATCTAAGAACTGGTACACCAGCATAAAGCAGGCACCGCCCAGGGCACCGCTGACTTGATTTACCAAATTCACTGTAGACTGCAACATGCCCTGTTGCTCGGCAGTGGCAGACTTTCCGATTATGGCCACTAAGACTGCAGAGCTCATCAAGGGGAGACCCGCGAACATAGCTGACTGCAGAAAAATCTGCCAACGTCTGGTGGCAAGCATCACCATCGAGCTTGCGACCCCGACGGATACTGTACTGGTTGCGAGCAATCCCACCCGGCCAAGCGATGGCAGTAGCATCCTCACCCCAATTATCATCCAGGCTATAGCTGAGACCGCATCCAGAAGTCCAGCAACGTAAGTGTCGTGTCGACTCCACGCAAAATGTTGCTGCAAAAAGCGCGCCAAAATGGTAATCCAGCCAGTGTAATGAAAGGCATCTATCACACCAATGGCTGTCAGCTTTTCAATCAAGGGGCTTTGAAGCAGCGCATGAAATGAGGTGGTGGGCAGCAGCAGCGACCAGGAAAAGGGAATCCTCTTCTCCTCGGACAGGGACTCCGGCAAGCAAAATATGGCCAGGAGCAAGTCTATGAGCTTCCCGACCATGCCCACCAACAGGGCCATCTTCAAGCTCATGGTGCTTCCTAGAAAGGCCCCTACGATTCCGGCAAAAATGCAGCTTCCCTCCACGAGCGTTATTGCGGGAACGATGCTAGGGGCATGGTCAACACGATCCACATACCAGGCAGTGGGCACGGCAATGAAGGGGATCAGTCCAAGAAAGCCAAGCCAGTAGTCCCACCAGATTGAAAGGTTGAACCAGACAACAGCAGCACTTGTTGTGCTAGTGATTGCCATGCACACGCGAATTGCGAGAACTGCCGGCCGTCTACCAAGCGAGTCGCTGATAGCACCTAACCTGACATTCGACAAGTGTTCAGACATGCAAACACCCTATGAAGCAAGCCACGTTAAACTTGCAGTTCTCATCAGTCCAAGCAGCGCTGGCCCTGTAAGCAGTTGAACTACAGGTCCCGCGAAGCCTTCGGCGCAACCGCTTGCGGTTTGAGGTTGCAGGGCTTGAAGGAATTGGGAGAAAAAAGGCTTGCAACAGCCTGCATCATGAATTCCTCAACCCTTAAGCCGGATCTGCAGCATAGTGGCGTTTCGAATCAAAACCCTACAACATTCCCTACTTCTTAGAGCTTAGGGGATTGGAAGACGGCAAGAACAAACAAACTCTCTTAACACCACAACGTCTCAGATGCAGTTGGCAACCCTTGCCTTTCGCAACATGGATCTGCATGACTTCCACTACGGCTCTGCTACAGGGTGTTGCGGCCATGTTTACCGCACAGTCCACAGGAGTGTCGCTGTGCTGCTTTGCGAAGTAGTTCAGATACCTTGGATTTTAAGGGGTTGGGTGGCTGAGCAACAGCAAACCACACCAGCTGCTCAAGAAGTGCAGAAAACGCTGGACTATGCGAGATCATAAAATGCAATCCATGTTGCATGTAGGGAAGGCTCGGGGCGGCTGCTGCTACGGAGAACATTCCAAGCAGGTGAATAATCCACATAGGGCCAATGCGTGGAATAATGTATGCGAGACCTAGGAAATTTTTGTGAGCGTAAAGGGCCCAGTAATGGAGAAGCAAAGGGAAATAAATTCGAAAATGAAATGGGAACTGGGGATGTTATAGTGATTGATTATAATGATTTGGGGGGTTCCAAAGTTAGGGCCACCTCTTGGGGTCCCTCATTATACAAGGAATTATTGAATACAATATTTGGGGGTCGATTGGGATCCCCCCATTCAGGGAAACTACCAATAGCTGAGCTGCACCCGCCCATCCTGCAATAGTCGTACAACGGGATCGCCATTATCCCGTGATAGTCATTATTACTGGGGAATTATTTACGACAGTGTAAATCAAGAAAACCTGAAACTTAGGTTGCAGCTCTGGCGACTTCTGGGAGCTTCAATCTCTTCCTCCTCTTTGAGAACTTCTACAGACTCCACGGAATCCTTTTGCGCACCCTTCTCCGCACGGCGTCTTAGGAGGGATGAAAGAGAGAAGGCAGCCAGGTGTGGCACTAAAATGGCCAACATGAAAGCCAGCCATCCTACCTGTCCGACGAGAAGGTTCCCAAAAACGGATTGCCTCTCCAGGCCAGGGACATTTTCTGCTCTGGCGATTTCCGTGTGAGCTTCTGCAACTTTACGCTCAAGTTTGGTATGTACCTGTAGAAGCTTCAAGGGAATGACCTCTTCGTCCGAAGCTCCGTCGTCAAACGGTATTTCGGCATCTGTATGTGCGGCAGGGCACGCCAAAGACTCTACGGCTTCAGTTGGAAAACATGTAAGTGAGACGCAAGCCACTCCCAGGAGATGGCGAAGTCGTGGCATTTTTTCACGACCCAGGTTAGCTTGAGGGGAGGCGGCAACAGTTTTCAGATGTTCTCAGTTTCCATCAGGCAGTGGTCAGCAAGCACAGTCCAACTCTTGCATTTGCACGTTGCGCTCAAGCCCAAGTGCCTCGTCAAAGACAACGATGCTTGGCTCTGTCGAGGAGCCACTGCCTGTCGTAGCTGCAAGGGTCATCCTACAGCCAAAACACAGGTTGAGATACATCTCCTTCTTGGAAGACAGCTTTTCAAGAAGTCCTCGCAAAACCACCTGGGGCCTTCTGAAAGCTTTGCACCAGCCTCGCGTATTGGCTCGCGCTCCAGGGAGGGTCGGGGCACCGCCCAAGCTGGAGGCCAGCGAGACCTTGGGGTCCAGCACGTACCTGAGCTCACCATGCTTGGGGCGGATCCTACTACAGGTTACAAACTCAATCCTGCCTTTACATTAATATGGTGCTGCAGCGCAACACGAACGTGCAGGCTGCAGAGCCATTGAATCCAAACCCACGGCAGCAGCAGCAGCAGCAGCAGCAGCAATGGACACAAAGGTACTGAGTGACCCAGAAAGGCTGAGGCATCTGCTGGTAATTGAGCACAACGACGCTCGAAGCTTGGATCAGTCGGCGCGCCGCATAGTATGGGCACCAACCGTAGCCCCTTGGCTTCTTTACATAGGATTTTGGGGCCTACCGGGATCCTGGCCAAGCAAGGCCAAGAGCAGCCAACAACCCAAACTGCTCATTACACAAACTGCAAGCGACAGCAGACGACTGCCCGTAGCAACCTGGCTACATCTAGCGACGGCAGCTGCAAATCCTTAGCCCTCAGAAGCCAGAACACAGGATGACACAGTTGCCTAGGCAAGAAAGGCACTCAGTCCCGGGTGACGCATCAAAACATAGTATGCTAAGCATCGAGAAAACTTGACCAACAAGTTAGAGAACACATGTGAGGACTTGCGCCCGATATCAAGAAATGCGTTGATCAGCATCAAGAAAATTTGAAGGCGATAATACGGTAAGTTTGCAAGAATAAAGAGATGGGGGAATGGTAATAGTCGTAGTACGAAGGCGGATATGAGTAGTATTCACAATAAGCAATACAAATAAGAACAAGAGCAGCAAGAATAAGAGTACTAGCTGTTCAATAGCGAGTAAAAGAAACGGTCGTAATATACAAATAAAAACCGGCGTGTTGCCTAGCGAGTTATGGCACAACCAACGGTGCCTCAGGTGGGTCACTGGCACCTGGCAGGGACTAAACTACGAGGCTCACCAGCCGTGGCACGGCAACAGCATTAGGTCCACCCTACGTGGAAGCATTTTTTTACCGTAAGCATGGATAGCGTTAAACCGGGGCGGTGTTCGCTAGGACGCAGGCTTTCCTTGGGTTTTTGACCCCTCCTGGTCCCAATTGACCTACATGGGATCCCAATCCTGCTGATGATGATCGCGTATGGGGCACGCGCGCCCCGTACAGGAGCATCATCAGCACAGTTGGGACCCCATTTTGGGTCGTTTGCAGTTAAACTGGACAGAACAAGGTCTTCCAAACCCAAAAACCTTTTCAAATAGCAAGAACATGATTTCTTCGAACATTTCTACGGAATCAGAAGGGCCGTGGTGCACTTGGCTTTCACATCATGGCGGGGGGGGGGCGGCGGCCAAGTCCGCACTTGGCGCAAGGTCTGAATAGTAATGGTAGCAGTGGTGCTGATAGAGTCGTATTCTACACAATAAAGAAGAGAATGGCAATAGTATCGAAATAGCATTAGCAATAGTATTACGTAGCATTACCAATGAAAAAATCCATGAGCCCGGAAGCCCCAAGAAGCCAAAAAGCCGAGGTTTTAGCATCTAGGAGAAGCCTCGAAGCCGAGAAGCCCAAAAGCCAAAAAAGCCGAAAAGCCAAGAAGCCAGGGGCCTGGGTATCATACAGAGTCCAAAGAATTCCAGAAAGCCAGTAAGCCACATTAGCCACGCAAGCCGAGGAGGCCTAAAAGCAGAAAAGCGGAGTGGCAACAGGACCAGGAGAGAGATTACGGCTTATTTTTTTATTTGACGCTTGGCAAAATATATGTTGTGCTGCACTTTTCTTCATACCTTATCATTTTTTGATGCCCATGCCTCAGTCCCAGGACTTCAGGGACCGACCAACTTGCAGGGGATATCGAATTTTGTCAACACTAAAACCCTTCCACTTCCATAGGCAAATTCCCAAACAGGTGCAAGTGGCTGATGTTTGGGTATAGGGGTTTATAGGGGAAGGGAAAACAAATGGAAGTACTAAACTATGATACCAAAGCATGAAAGGAGGAGTTTCCGACTCATTGTCCATTTTTGCATTTGATTCTCCATGCCTGGAATCCCTATACAACCCCATATACCTCTCCCCCAAAGCCCTGACCAAAACATGTTTGCCAAACCCACCATGAAGATCCATGAAGGTCCAACTGGGATGTCACTTCGCCAAAAATGTTAGTTTCTTTTGAATAGGGGAAACCCTTAGTGTAGACCCCAAATACGACAATCCTTATTCTAGGAAGCCCTTTAAAAGTACCGATTTTGGGAAACTCTGATCCCTATAATCCCTGCATAATCCCAGTTCCCATCTCACGTTCGGTTTTCTTTCCATTTCATTCTCCATTGAGGGTAATCTCCCTAGATAATCCCCTACATATCGTAGTGTGCATTTGGTGTCCCTTGTTCTTGTCCATTTCAGTCCCCATGATTGGATAATTCTCCTAAACCCTTTATCCTAAATAGTAACTTCCATGTCCTTATCCATTATCCCTACCCTAAACCCTAAACTGTATATGGGCTGTGTATCCCCCATTACGAGTAGGGGCAATGTTTCCTGGCAAGGTTCGACTCCAAGCCTTTGGCCCGCAAATCCTCTATGGTGTAGATGCCTTCCAGCGGAAAGCAGAAGTGGTCCCTTTTGCAACAGGCTTGCACGTGCGCAGAAGTGGTCCCTAAACCCTAAACCCTAAACCGCTTTTTTCGTAGGGTTTAGGGTAAATCATGAGGATGCAGGGCCCAAAAATGGAGAATGAAATGGAAAAGAAAATGGAAAATGACATGGAATCTGGGGTTCTATCGCGGTTGGCTATGATGACTGGGGGGTTCCAAAACTTAGGGTATCTCTTTGGGGCTTACTAGAATAAGGAATGTAGTGTTTGGGGGTCCATATTGGAGTCTCCCTACTTAACCTACCAGACAGACAACGCAAGTTGCAAGCCAAAATCAGTGGGACAAAGACAGCACATCAACCAGGACTATCTTCTCACAGAGCATATTTCAGAGCATCCGGCAGATCTTACCCAAATCTCAACCTACAGCAGTTTCCATCTCATTTTCCATTATCCCAGTATTATCATGTATTATCCAAAGTTAACCCCTTTTAATCCCTATGTAGCCCCATTCTATAGCCGATTTTAATGTAGTAGTGTCCATTGTCTTGTCCAATATCCCTATGTAATCCCAATAAGCTCTTTCAGGGGACATGTCGGACCTAGGTTCCCACCTGTTTCAAGGAGCTGGGATTGGTGAGCAAGGGCGGTCTCATACCTGAGTACGCAAAAGCTTTCGGGAGCGTGGGTCCTTGATGCGGGGCCATAGTAATAATGGTGATAACAGTAACAACAGTAATGATGGAAAAGAAAATGTAAACTACTGTAATGGAAAAGAAAAGGGACCTGGATTGTTTTAAGGGTCTAAACTCCTTCAAGGGGGTTCTACAGGGGATTTTGTAGGGGTTATTTAGTCTACACTCCAAGTATCCCCCTTAATAACCCCTATAGTAGTTCCCTATATGATCCCTCATATAACCCCCCTTTGAGGAGTTTGGACAAAAGCTCATGTTGGGGCAGCATGGCTCAAGTGCACCTGACTAGCCTTGTACTAGCCTACTGATCATCGAACATCCATGGACAATGCTCTTCTTCTATGGGATCTGCGGAACCCGAAGGCCCCGCTGGGGCTAGGCCCTCAACCCTCGCCAGTCCAGTCACACGAGCCCAGGAGGACCGGAGTGCTTCCCACTCCGACTGAGCATTGAACAAACTCAATACAACATGCACCCCACAGGATTGCACGCATGCTCAATACAACAATGAGATTCCTCCCTACTCTACTGGGTTAAAATGCCACTCCACCAATTCCCTGGTGGGGCCTGTACCTGGGTTCAGGTTGACAATGCTCTGTCTTCCTTCCGGTCTTCGTCTTCTTCCCGCAAGGCATGAGGCAAGGACGCTAAGCGCAAGTGCAGGCGAAGTGTGAGCAGGCGAATTGGCAGGCAGTGCCGAACAGTTGCACATCAAGAAAACTTGGAACAAATCTGGAATTGATGTTCTATGAGTGGCCTTGATAACTTCATCATCCAAATGCAAACGTCGCTTCTGCCTCTGTTCAATGCCCCAACCGTAAAAATGTGTGAAGTGCGGACAGAGTTCCATCCTGCTTTGAAGAGCAGTCACTGCTCTTTGACTTGTTGCTTTTCATTGATCTGCACTGACGTTTTGCTTAGGGCTACAGGAACTCGTCTGGCACCCCGTTCAGCACTGAGGGGCTGTAGTTCTTGGGGCCCCGGTAAGATTGCAAAGGGCTTCTGTTGTTTGCAGATCATCCAGCTCCCTCTACAGGTCACACCTGCGCAATGCAATCAGTTAATGCAATTTTAACCTTTGGGGGATCTCTATGTTACGGCCCTCTCCTACTCTGATGTGTCCAATGCTTGCCTGTGCTCTTGCAGGATTCGTCAAACTAACTGTGCGGCTGTGACGCTTCTCGAAGTGCGTGCAAAGGCTGTCCTTCTTTGCCTTCTCCCGCGCCCATGGAGCAGTTAGCTGTCTGCACATCCTTAGCCAGCACAGCCTGGACATCACCTCCCCCACCCCAGCACCACATCTAGCGCGCATCACGACAAAAGCAGCTTTCTGTCCGTGAAGGTAGAGCCTTCAACAACCGGCGCACAGCACAACTGGGCCCGTGGGCTCATCGACACGCTCTCGGTCACCCTCCTTGCTGACCTCAGGGTGGACGCACATGTTGCCTTGGCTTGGCACGTCAAATTCACCAGATGCAGATGGGTCTATCTTGCTCATGGGCTCGTCTACGTGCATTCAAAGTAGCGTCTTGCGGACAAACCAACCTGTACGCATGCATAGTCAGCAATGAACCTGCTGCATCTCAGCACCGGTGATCAGAAATCAACTCTGTCGAGTCACAGCTAAGATGTGTCCGGCAGACAGCCCAGTTGGTTGCTGAGCCCCGTCCTCGCCTGGGCACACATCCAGCTGCGTCTGCTCATGGGCTTGAAATTAACCCTATGGCCGCTCGAGACGGGGTGTTTGGGAAGACGCAAAACCTTTCCCCATCAAGGACCATTTCTCTCCAAAACCACACCCTACTATAACCCCACAATAACCCTACTATAACCCCAATGTAACCCCATTAGAACCCCAATATTCCCCCACTAGAACCCCACTATTACCCCCATGTAACCCCAATATAATCCCCATGTAAACCACAGTTAATCCCCATATAACCTCCAGCTCAGCAGTGCTGTTCCACAACTCTGGGGCTCCGTCTGGGCACGACTGGCTCACGCTCCGCGGCCAAAACTTGAACGCGGTAGTCGATGACCTGACGCATACAGGGGTTGTAGGGGTGTTGTAGAGGGCGCAATCTTCGTAACTGTCGCCACTTTCACTTTTGGACTCTGACCGTGTACAAGATTCAAAACTTGCCGACAGTTACAGGGATCGGCTAGTTTGCCGCACGATCCTTCGGGCTGTGATAGATGTCGGCATTTGAACGTTTCTAATATTCCACCATGAAGCTCATGTCTCCTTCTAAGACCCTCTGAAAACTTCAGAAACACTGCACAGGCTGCATAGGAATGATGATCCATCTGTATATCTACACATCTATAGATAATGCTATTTAATCAGATAGATATATTTCATCATCCCCATACCATAGAAGCTTAGAAATAACTAGCGTAATTCCTCCATTTGTGAGACCCACACCCACCACGCACCCACACCCACAGGAGAGAGGGGAGATCTCAAGTCATGTCTTCTCATCCCACCCAACCCCAACCACACCCACAGGGGGGGAAAGCCAACCCCAACCACACCCACAGGGGAAGAAAAGGTCCCCTCCAACCCCAAACCACAGCCACCCACAGGGGAGGGGGAAGGA